GTATGTATATATATATATATATATATATATACTTTTTGCAGGTAAGAAATATATTCTGTTTCAATTGGGATGTAGGGCACGATGAGTCAAACTGTTTATTTTCTTCGGTTTCCTTCTTTCTTGACGCAGGCAGCAGTAAAGGATACGGCCTTATCCATAGGTGTAGTTTGTGTGCTTTCTATGTGTGCGTGTTTTTTTTTCTTTTAAGTGTGTCTGCAGTAATATTTATTGGCTCCGCTTCCTTGTTACTGTGAGAGGATGTGAACGTTTTTGAGAATGCCTTTACCATGTCCATTGTTGCTGGTGTGCCGTGTCGCTTACCCTCTCTCCTCTAACCCGCACGCACATACTCATACCTCAATTTATCCGTTTGCTTTTTGTTTGGTTTTGTTTGTTTGTGTGCGAATACGCATGATACGTGAATTTGACGTCAAAGAGCCCCTAAACTGTCTATACTATTTAGCTACTCCTCTACACACAGATACACACGTCATACATACACACACGTCAAGATATCCGCAATCACACTGAGAGGGCCCTGTATTTTTTGTTGTGCGCCTCCAGTAGGGCGGTGTTGCCTTTGGGAGGTTCTGACACAACCACAATAATAATAATAATAATAATAACGAAGACAACGACGTGATCAGAAAAGGGGAAACTAGAGTTCATTGATAAGTGAGACGCATTGAGAGAGAATAGAAGCTTCTTTGTTTGTTTGTTTGTTTTTTGTGGGCCTTCACGTGAAGGTAAATGGCGGGCGGTGGCGCGTTTCCTCCTCTCTCCCTTAAGGCAGCGGGGTTGCGCTGGATTGAGGTGTTTTGCTCGATCTCCATCTTTTCGGTGTCCTTGGCCATTGCTTATTGGGTAGCTGTGAGATTCGGTTCCGTCACTGGGCTTCTCACTCTGGCGTTTCTTTGGTTTGTTGGTGCTCTCAACTTTCTGAAGCACCTCTTCCAATTAGTGTCCGTGACTGGCGGCGGGGCGGACTATCAAGAGATGTTGCGGCGAGCGGATGTGATGCAGCGGCCAAATGTACAAAAAACATCTGACTTTAACGAGAACGCTGGGCTCTCTTATGGATTGAGTTGCATGCAAGGATGGCGTAGAAGTATGGAGGATGATCATGTGGTGCTGCTTGAAGAGGATGGAGGTTTTTTTGGTGTTTTTGATGGCCACAGTGGTTCAAATGTTGCGAGGTTTTGCGCAGGGAATTTGTTTGATTTTGTCTCAAGGACCGCAGCGTTTAAGGAGGGGAACTACACAAAGGCTCTTTATGATGGGTTTCTTGCCATTGATAAGCACCTATATGCCGCATTCTCAAACGAAAGGAGCGGCTGCGCTGCAATTGTCTTATATGTGAAGGATGATGACGTGTACTGCAGCAACGCTGGGGACAGCCGGTGCGTGCTGTGCCGTGATGGGGAGCCATTGCCTCTCAGCAATGATCACAAACCATTTCTTCCAGGCGAGTTGTCAAGGATAGAAAGGGCAGGTGGATACGTATGGAATCACCGCGTGAATGGGGCGCTTGCTCTTAGCCGAGCCATTGGAGACTTTCTTTTCAAGTGCAACACGCAGGTGCCGTGGGACCAGCAGGCCGTTACGAGCGCCCCAGAGGTGCGTTTTACGCGCTTAAATCGTGAACATGACGAGTTTGTCGTTATCGCCTGTGACGGTATATGGGATGTGCTTAGCAACGATCAAGTAGTGGATTTTGTGCGCCGGCGCATCCACACACGGGTTCCGTTAGATAAGATAGCCGAAGAACTTATTGAGCGATGCCTCTCCCCGCGACCGTTTGGTGTCGGTTGCGATAACATGTCGGTTGTGATTCTTCAATTCAAGCGACCAACGCCTTCTCGCCCTGCTCCACAGACCGTGCAGAGGGCACAAGCCGGCGACGATGACACAAAAGCTGCAGCGGACGGTGCCAGAACAGGCTCAATGGATGCTCACGGGCAGGAGAATAACAATCTGCGGCATCATAGCACTGAGGACGCTGACACCACGCCAGAGGAAGGACAGTATTTCTGGTGGTGCAATGAGAGGGACGTATACTCGTAATTGAGCGTAAACGAAGGGCATTAAGTGGTATATTGCCTGTATGGAACATTCCGTTGCTCCGTGCATGGCTTTGATACTGCAACTTCATACTATTGCAGTGGGATCCTTTTGTGCGGACCTGAAGTTTCAGATGTTAAAAACAAGAAAAAAGGAAATGAAGGGATAGAGAAGGATAGAAAAGAAGTGGAAGCTAAATTTCCCTTTCGACAGCTTTTGTATACATACGAAAAATATGTGTGGGACCCCTTTTTGGTTTTGTTTTTTTATTTATTTTGAAGAGTGAACGTTTAGTGCACGCATGGTGCTTTCAGTTTGCTTACTTTGGGCGTAGTCCAGCTGCGTCAAAGAGGAGCAGATACGATGTGTCGTGGACGTGCCTCAGCGCGGTGCTCCGTGGTATAAGCAGAAACAAAAAGCAAACAAACAAAAAAAAAGCTGCATGCAAACGGCAAGTATAATAAGGCGTTGTTGGGTGTCCTCCTCGGCGACTTGCCCGTATCCACTTTTATACGCACCACCGGCGTAGCTTCCGCCGCCGCTGCCGTTGTTGCTGCTGCTCGTTGAGAGGACCAGGAATGGCGTGTGTACGTGCGTTTATGTGTGCTATCTTATATTTGCTTGTTCTTAAACTTTATTTGCCAACGTGGTAGGTGTCGGGCGGGGAACTGCCCTTTACCCTTGGGGTTTACTGCGGAGGAGGCCGATGTCACCCTCTTCCCATGCGCCACCTCTGTGTGGGTGGGTGTCTCTCTCTCTCTTCCTGTCTCGGCCGAGTGCTACTGCACTTGGAGCGGAACACGTACTCCGCCGCGGCCGACTTGGATGAAGTTAATAACTCGGACTGCGTTTGCGTTCACGGTCATGCGATGTGTCAGTGCGGGTGCCTGCGTATTGTGTCGGGGATGGCGGGGAGCGGGGGGCGGGGGGCGCACAGAGATAGCCATACAGAACAATCAACCTCCTCTCCCCTTTCTTCCTCTATCTTTTTTTTTTTTATTCTTGCTATTTTCCCTCAGCCAGACAGAAGCAATAAAATGATACATATGGTCAGTAACGTGAGAAATACGGAAAATGGAAAAACAAAAACACAAGAATGGCGAGTGAAAGGTCGACACCAAGGAGCTCCTCAGGGATATTTTAGGGAGTACCGAAGTGGACTTCCTTCTCGTTGAACGCACTAGCAGTAAGGTTGGCCCTCGTCTGAGGGTTAGAAGAAACATAGCTGGTTTTATCTACGCAAACAATGTTTAAAGCATTTGTTTTGTATGACGAAGTGCGTCTTATATATATACATGTAGATGGATTGAACTCCCTCTGGAATCGTTTTTTTTTTTTTTACATGCCCTTCTTCGGCCATCTTTAATTCGATAACTGACATAAGCATGCCCACGTATCTTTTTTCCCTTCCTCTCTCTTTCTCTCTTGCTGCATATAGCTGCGTGCCAAGGCGTTTATGTGCGCTTGATTACTCTTTTTTTTTTTGGTTTTAGTGCGGAGGGACAAAGGAAATCTGACGTCAGGCACGCACAGGCTGACACATGCGCGCTTGCGCGTATTTTTTACCAACAGCAAGAGAAGAAACAACAGCAACAACAAAATGACGGACTTTGTTGCGGGGTGGATGGGCGGCGTCTCCGTGCTTCTAGTTGGACACCCTTTTGACACCATCAAGGTTTGGCAGCAGAGCAGAAATACACTTGGCCTCACTTCCTTCACTACGGCGCCAGGAGAAAAGAGTCTCGCGGCCGTGATGGAGTTGTACCACACAAAAGGTGTGCGTGCGTTTTACAAGGGCCTGTGTGCGCCGATGTGCGCGGTGGGATTTGCCAACAGCGCCTTGTTTGGGACCTATGGCCTCATTGTGAATTTTTTTGTTTGCAATGAGGCATCTCAGTTTTACTACAACGATGAACGCCACGTCGCGGTGAAGTACGCGAATCGTCACGCAAACGAGGAAAAGGCTTCCGGTCACACGTACCAAAAACAGAATCTCTCAGCGCACTTCCGCACAGGCGGTGGACTCAGCGCCTTTGAAAACTTTGTGGCCTCCACAGGCGGTGGTGTGGCATATTCCACCATCATGAACCCCTTTGAGCTTGTCAAGATACGTTTGCAGACGGAGCACTTGTTTCCCCACCGTCAGTATCTCGGCACCTTGCACTGCGCCCGGCGGTTGTACGAACATGGAGGAATCAAGTACTTTTTCAAGGGTTATAGCGCGACACTGATACGGGATATTCCTGGGGCTGGTGTATACCTTTTTAGCTACTCCTCGCTTATTCAGTTGCTTGGGAAGGAGAGGAACTACAGCATTCCGCATATTCTTCTTGCCGGAGGCTGCGCAGGGATGGCGCAGTGGATTGTAATATTTCCTCTTGACACCATCAAGACGAGAATACAGGTGGCCAAAAAGGGTGAAATGCTGGGGTGGACGCGATGCGCAAGGCAGCTCTACAACGCTCATGGATTTACTGGACTCTACCGAGGAATGGCACCGGCCCTCGTGCGTGCCTTTGCTGCAAATGGAGCGGCGTTTGTGGGAGTGGAGGGGACACTGCAGTTTTTCCGTACTGCCGGCCTGGAGGACGTTGACATTGCTAGCTCATAAATATAGGTGGCAGAATATCAGCCTTAACGAAGGAGCGCAAGGAACCCTGTTTCGTTGTTTTTGTTTCGTCCTTTGTTTTTTTTTTGTGCGCGCTGTTTTCCACATGACGGTGGCTCTTTATGCCGCGCCGAAGCTTTTTGCTCTGTTGTGTGTGCGGGTGTGTGAGAGCCTGTGTGTTGTTGAGTTGCTGGACCTTTGCCACGGTGGTCTCTGGCGGTACGGCGGGTTTCTCTGATGCGCTCCTACTCCCTCTCCTGCAGTAGTGCGTATTAAGATAGCACAACCTGTCGCTTTTTTTTTCTCAGCATGGCCGATCCCTTCTACGAAGCGCGTAACGCCCTTACGGTCGGTAATTATCACCAGGCGCTCGCTGAGGCAGGCGGAGCAAAGACGACGCTCCGCAAGCAGGACGAGGTGACCGCTTTTAATACTGAGCGGGAGGCTCTCTTATGCCTTGCTCAGATTGGGTTGGGCCAGGGTGAGGCCGTCGTAACACAGTTGGCTACCGCCACCCACCCCACGTTACAGGCAGTGAAACATTGGGCGCAGTTTTCACTGGCCATTAAAAATCAAACGCCTGGAGCAGCCCTTACCCCCGCTGCAGCCTCGGCGCTAGAGCAATTGACACAAGCGACGGAAGAAGTCAGTCCTGCACACATTCAGGTGGCTGTGCTGGCCGCCTCTGCTCTTCTTGCCTCTGGCGATAGTGCTGGGGCAATAAAGTTGGCTAAAAAATGGATACATGAACTTCCAACACCGGAGGGGGGTGCCAATATGCGTAAGCATATGGAATTGCGCGTCGTTGTGGTCGAGGCGCTTCTCCGCATGCAACGCCCGGAGATGGCCAGAGGTGAAGTGAGCAGCATGGAACAGCTGGACGATGAATCCATCTTGACGGTGTTGTGCTCAGGTATAGTGAGTCTCCACGAGGGACCCCAGTCTGTTGATGCGTATCGGAGGGCCCTCGAACGGTTTAAGGAACTCTCCATTCGCTGCGGCCCGAGCGTCCTGGCACATAACCTAGCGGCGCTAGCACAAATGGAGCTTGGCGATTTCGAGGCGGCTGAGCGTAGTCTCCTTGACGCGTTGGCTATGCGATCTGGCGACGTCGATACGACGTCCAATTTGGCGGTTGTCTCTTCCCATCTGGGCAAGGCAGCAGATTCCACAAATCGCTACACCCAACAAGCGACTGCCATCACTGGAGCATGGAGCCACCGGTACGCCGCCATGAATGCCCGCCTAAACGAGGCTGTCCTCCAATTCTCAACAACAGCGTAGGCAAGGAACAATCACGAGGATGAACTTTTAGGGAGTGTTATTGGCGTAATAGGACTACCATACGACGATGCTGTTTTTTTTCTTTTGTTTCTATTGAGAGATTGTGTGTGCGTGTGAAGAAAATGGGGAAGAACAGAGTTTGAAACGCTTCACGTTGTTCTGCCCAGTTATTGAAGCAAATGCATACGTGGAGCGTGAATGAAATGTGCTTGCTAAGAAGTGGATATTTTACGTTCTGTTGAGATTACTGCCCGTGTGTCTATTATTATTTTTTCTTGGCATGGGAGTGAAGGAAGGTTTTGGAGTGGAGGAGGGGGAGCGTGGAAAGAGGGTCCTCTTTTTTGGAATGCAGCAAGGAGCGCGCTGGAAGGCGGCCGCAAATCTTGAGTTGCTGCTTGGATCAGATCATCCGCCCGCCCGCCTTGCGAGCGACCCTACAAACGCCTTAGTTAATGTTTCTGGAGCGGGGGTAGACGCGCGAAACACAGTAAGCTTTAAGAACACGCTTTATTGCAACCGACAGGACGCCGGCTACGCTTCTACCCGGCAGTGCCTGGCTAAATACTACCGCTTCATGCTCTCAAAGATCCCACTGTGGAAAAAAAGTGCTCGGCATGGCGAGGCAAAAACTGAACCGACAGAAGCTTTTGTGGTGAAGCACGAGGAGGAGGATGATAATGATGGAAAAGCGGAATCACCCAGATCTCATGAGAACTTTTTGCTCTCGACATACCGAGCGGTGGGCATTCTTACAAAGACAAACAACCCGGGCGATATTGGAGAGGACCTCCTCCTTCCATGGGAATTTTATCCAGTTACAGATATTAACGATGAGGATGCCTACGCCGAGTGCATTAAGGCGCTTTCGAGAGAGATCCCACAGGTGAATGGGCTTATTCATTTTGAGGCCGAAGATGAGGACGGGCTGACAGCCACTGGAACCACAACGGCGGCTTCTAATTTGGCTCTCGGCAGCCGAAGTGACGGGAGGCTTTCACTCTACACGCGTCTGGTGCCGCAGTTTACTGGCATCTACCCGGGGATGGCCATTGGAGTCATTGGTGAGCCATTTAAGCGTAGCTCGTCTGGTGCCTTGACGGGTGTTTTAGTTCGTCAATTTGTTTTGCCAGCCCGTCCTTTTTTCCCATGGAGTGTACAACAGCCACTGCCAACCCCATCAGTTTTGACACCTATTCCTACACGAGTTCATTTTTGCAGTGGACCCTTTCCTAGACGTGACATCACCTCCATTTTAACTGCTGTGACCAGAAATGCTCTTTCACGCGGGGCTAACTTACTCATCATTGGTGGGCCACTTGTCAAGGAATTTGAGGAGTTCGAGAAGGAGCTTTTGGCAACGACGCAGCGAACGTTTGATGAGCTTTTAGGCACCTACCTGGACTGCATTGAAGAGGTGGTGTCTAGCTACTATGCTGCAAACGGCAATCGAGAGGGTAGGCGCCGCCTAAAGGTGGTCTTGGTTAGCCACAGAGATGATGTGACGCAGATGCCAGCTCTCCCGACCACAATGTACGGCGTACAAGACGGAGGGGATGTTTGGGTTCGCTCCAACCCTTGCCGTATCTCCGTTAATGGCATTCATTTTAGCGTCTGTAACGAGGATGTGGTGGGGGACATGCGTGATAAAATGGTGGAGCGGTGGCCTGCCGAGGCGGGTAGTCTTCGTCGGGTCGTCGAGACGCTCATTCAGAGCCGCCTGTACGCCCCCATTTATGGCCTTCCCGCGGTGAAGCACGAACTGAAACACTTCCAAGCGCTTCGTATTGACTACGTACCGGAAGCGAGCAACGGGGAACTTTATGACGGCAACAACGACGATGATGCCGTAGGTGGGAGAAGCAGCAACCCCACATCCCCCCTGGCGTGGAACAGTCTCGTCTCCGTGCTCTCGGCAGGAAAGGAGGAGCTGGAAGAGGTGAAGCGGGAAACGAAGCGTGTCAAACGTGAAACCCGTGATTTTTCCTTACCGTTACAAGATGAGTTAAGCGGTGAAGCGGCAGTCGAGTGGATGCCTCATGTCCTGTTTTTGCCCTCAACACGACCTCGTTTTGCTGTTGTAACGCATCGTAGCGTGTGGGATGCAGAGAAGGGCATGTCGCGAGACGAGTCGGAGCTGGACAATGTTTCTGCAGCGTCAGGTGTGATGGTGGTAAACCAGGAAATTTGGAGTAAACGCTCTTCGCCAAAGTTTGAACTACGCGTTGCGGAGGTGACAATGCCTGACAGCGATGTTGTGATGCGCCGGGGTGCCTTGGAGGCGAACGGTGTTTCATGCGGTCTTATTCACTTCTTCAACAACGCGGTTAACAGCTAAACTTTTTCCGCAGGGTTTGGGAAGAGGGGAGTTGTGGTGGCCATGGAGCGGCATGTAGAAGCCTCCACTCGGGCACGCATGCATTCATCTAATTATATTGCGGGTTGCCAGGTTCGTCTCCATTGATGTATGCGTCTTGCAGCACTCTCATTTGCGTTTTTTTTTGTTGTTGTTTCCTTGCTTTTTATATCGCTCTTTTCTTTGTCTTTGTTAGCGTTTCGTTGCCACCTGCAACTACTGTTTCTTCTCTTTTTCTCTTATATATTTTCTTCTTCTTCCTGTAGGTGGCGAAGGCGTTTTTGTTGGTGGACGCTGGTAGTGGTGGTGGGTCCTCCTTGTGTGTGTGTGTGGCATGACACGGCGCGGCGCACGCCTTTACGGCCGTGCGACACCCGTTTGTGTGCAGACGACAAGGCAACAGACGGCGAGCGAAAACTTCTTCTAATTGCCGCCCAGTGCTGCTCGCACCATAGCACGTCGGCGGCAGTCGAGAGAAGTGAGATGTCGATCCTTCCTGTCGTGGACGTTTTCCTCGTCACCGTTGCAGGCTAAGCCGTGGCCCCAACCCTCCTTCCCTTTCCTGCTGTTCCTCTGTGTATCGCGTGCCACGCCTCTCCTAGTTTTTGTTCCAGGTACTACTAACCGTTCTCTCTCTTGGCTGCGGCCGCCTTTGTATTTCAAGGAAGCAAGACGGGAATAAGTGATCAGGGAAGAAACAAAACAAGAATAGCGTGGGAAAGCTACACGGTGCGACCGACGAGAGTCTGCAAAAACTCATTCAACGGGCTCGGCAGCACGTACGTACACGAACTCACGAGCAAGTAAAACAGCAACAACAACAAAGAAGAGTCTTCCGGGACAAAAAAAAAGGAGGAAAATATTGTTTCACGGAGGAGTTTGGGTGGTGGATCATGTCGGAGAACTCTGCAGCTGCAGCGGGGGCGCTAGTGGAGCTCAACATGGAAGAAGACAAAACACACTGTTCGCTGGTTCCAGATGACGTAGTGATTCGCGACTACCTGAGCTGCATCAACGACGACACTTGGGTGCGGCATGCCGAGCTGGTGAATCTCTCCGACCTGAAGGAGACACCGCACGAGGAGGTGGTGAAGGAGGAGGTTCTCCGCAACTACATCGAGGAGCGACGTAGAGACGGGGCGGTGGTGCCAAGGGACCTCATCATGGAGGGCATACTCTGGCAGGAGAGGTTTATGGACGAGTACAAGAAGGACAAGCGCTCACAAGACAAAGAGGATGCAGCCGGCTACAAACAGGCGTTGATGTCAAACTTTCGAAGGAAGCGAAGTGGTTTCGGCACCACGGCGGGTTCCACGGGGGAACGAAAAACCATTGATTACAAGAGAGGACAAGCCGCGGAGCCAGAATATCCAACGGAACCTGCCTCGAAGCAGCGCACGAGTCTTCAGCCTCTCCATGGAGGTGCATCAGCAGCAAGATATGGATCGAATAATGAAATACCCAATGAGGAACATGAGTTAAGCACTGCAGCAATGAAAATAACCGAATCGATTCAGGAAAACAGCGTAGCTGCAGTCTCGCAACCTGTTGAACAACAAGCGCCAGCAGTCCATGAACCAGATTCCGCACACCACGCTGACCAAGACGTTCCTCAATATCCTGTTGAAGAACAAGCGCCAGCAGTCCATGAACCAGATTCCGCACACCACGCTGACCAAGACGTTCCTCAATATCCTGTTGAAGAACAAGCGCCAGCAGTCCATGAACCAGATTCCG